CTCTCTCTCTCTCTCTCTCTCTCTCTCTCTCTCTCTCTCTCTCTCTCACACACACACACACACACACGCATTCACCGAGTGCATGATCACTGCAGCCCAACTTTCTGTTCTGCTGTTTGAGCTGCCCTTATTGGTCAGGAACCAGGAAGTGCATCGTAGAGGAAAGTAGTTCATCTCATCGCCTTCGATTTTCACGCCCATAGCCAGAATGCTGTCGAGATTGAGGCCACTCTTTTATCCTAAGAGGAACCCAAGACCAGGATGGCACTGAATTTCTTGAATTTCAATGAAAAGAAGACACAAGTGATGGTGTTTGGTCCCAGAGCGGCCCTCGTACATCCCATCCTGGGCAGTCATTTGAAATTAGAGTGGCAAATTGGTGCCGTTGTCTTCTTGCATTGACGGCAGCTGGCGAAAGTAAAAGCTCTCGTTTCTCAAAAGCTCTTTGAAACAGTCCTTCATGCCTTCGTCACATCTCGGCAGGATTACTGCCATGCACTTGACTTTGGAGTCTGCCAATCCTCCACGAAGCGTCTCCAGTTGGTCCAAAATGCCGCTGCTCGCCCCTTGACTGGTACTCGTAAGAGGGAGCACAGCACTCTTACTCTGGCATCCCTTCACTGGCTCCCGATACATTTTAGAGTTCTTTTTAACATCCTATGATTTGTTTGATTTTGAATACAATACAGCTTTATTGCAATCGTGCTTTCACAACAGTGTGTCCGAGTACAATTGATTTTTGAACAGGTGTGTGATTTGACACTCTTCGCCACTAGTGGATAAAAGTTGCGCTTCTCTTGCTTGTTAAGTCAGCGTCATTCGCAAATGGCGCTTGATTTTGATCCGACTTCAAAGGATGTTTGTTGCACGCCCGATCAAGAATGCCGTTGATTTTTGAAGAGATATCAGAGTCAAAATGCTTTTTGTAGTCGCCCGTCAAACAGCTCGTGTGTGTCTTTGTTGTTGTTGTTATTTAAAAGCAGCTGTGAAGGTAAGATCAGTACTTGGTTTTTCCCGTCACCTTGACCGCAGGCAAACTTTCAGGCATGATTGTTGCAACGAGATTGCTCTTGATTTTGAACCGATATCCAAGTCACGATACTTTCGGTAGCTGGCCGTTAATCGTCAAATGAGTACAGTTTTCTTAAAAAGCAGCTCTCAATATTAGATCAGTACTTGTGCTTTGTCACCCGTACTGCAGGCCAACGTTCATGGATGGGTTCCACTTGCCATGGCAAGACTACGAATGACGATTTAGAGATTGAAAAATCGAGATGATTTTGCGAGCTGGCCGTCGAATGGAATCGGAGTAGTTTTTTCCTTTAAAATTGTATCTCTGGGTTAGATCGGCATGTGTTCCTCGTCACCTGTACCGCATGACTGCTGCATGCGATTCTTTATTTTGTAGCTGGCCATCAAACATCAAATGAGTATTTATTTATTTTTTGTCTCAATACGTGTTCCTCAACACCGCTCAAATTGTCACTTCCTGCCTCCCAGAGCAAAAAAAAAAAAGTTACTGCTTGAAATGTTGACCAGATGTTGCTCTCTGCCAATCCTGACATTTGACATGTTGATGAGTCAGCATTTTCAGGGGGGGGGGGGGGCTCGTCTCGTGCTCGTAACTTTGGGAACAGCAGTGAAATTTGCACTTGTACGCAACCACCACTTGTGTCTCGCCGAATGACGAGGCATCTGACCGTAAAAGAGTTTCCAAAGAGAGTTCCGCCCCTTTTTCCGCCCCCCCCCTTGCGATGCCGTGTAATTACAGGCGGAAACTGCGGCGGGACATGACATTCCCGCGACCGGATGCTTCCTGATGAAGGGGATCATTTGTCACGGCCAACATGTTCAGTCAATGTTTTTAGTAGAAGGTGGGGGTGTTTTTGTGGGTGTGGGGAGATTGGTGAAGGGCTGAATGCGCTTGCGACGTCCCAGCATGTCCCGACATGGTCCAAAGGGCCATTCGAGAGTTCAAAAGGAAGAAGCCTCTCCCCCCCCCCCCTTACCCCCCCTCTTTTGGCGGTCCTATTAGTGGAGACAGGAACAAAAACCAAAAAAAAAGTGGAGATGAAAGTACGAGAACATCACAGGTTGGTGTGCAATATTGAAAGGAGGAAAAGCAGATGTTCAGAGCAGTCGGGACTTTGCATTCAGATGGACACGCTGACATTTGCGCAAAATGTCAGCCACTTCCTGATGAATGCGAATGGAAGTCCTCAGAAGTTCATCAACGACAAACCGAAACTTCCGGGATCATTCGTGGCGGAAGTTTGTTTCGAAACACATCTTTTGAAAAGAATTGCTAAAAAGGCTGAGAACTAAGTTGGACTGAATGGTGGCGATACAGTGCTAAACTGATTTTCGACGTTTCGCCAATGGGATATATCGCTAATTGCCATCCTTCAAACAACTGCTACTTCAGCAGATGCAGCGCAACGGCGACGCCTACGAGCCGGAAGTGACGTCAAGTCCAATGTCAGGCCCGTCGGTGGCATCTGCACCCGACACCCAGTTGCGTGGCGGCCGCCGTTTGAATTGCCGTAACGGGAGCGGCGACTCGCCATGCCAGGAATTCCCGCCTGGAGGTTCCGGCTGATATATTTGGACGCGGCGCTGCGACGCTGCTAAAGCCGCTAAAGCTGCTGTCGCGGCAGCGTGAGGATGTCTGTCAGTACGCGTGTCGAGCATTTTAAACGCACAACCCGTTTAGGCGGCAGCGACGTGCCACCACAGGTGCCAGATTGAGGGAATGTAACACTTTGTCCTTTCCGACACTTGGTGAATTTCCCTCGTGAATTGAAGAAAGGATCTATTTTGTCGACCGCCTGTCTGATCTATACAAAGTGGGTAAATATGAGCCAAGGGACAGGAACTGTCATCAACAAACGCCGCATTTCAACACATCCCGTTAATGTTAATGAAACAGAACGATACGCGACGCCAAGTCGCGTTACATCAAGACACGTGACGTCGTCACGTCGCATTTCGACGTGTTACTCGACGACACTTTGTGACGGCGCATTGTTACATCCCATGACGTTGCGCGACGTACGTATGTCACGTTACGTTACGTTACGTTACGCGTTTCGTTGCAAGACGTTGCACTACCGTACGTTATAATTTGTGTTCGTTTCTATTCCGTTTCGTGTGTTCACGTTCCGTACACAGAAAACCAAACTGTTCTGTTACGCTTCATAACATTCAGTAACGTTCCGTAAAAGTCTGTTTTACGCTAGTTTTGTGAAGTTATGTCACATGATGTTCCAGTGTGTCACGTCACTTCTGGTAGATTGCGATACGTGATGTCACGTTCTGTTACATGGGCACGTTTTGTTACCTTATGTTACGAACTTCATATTGATTTGTGGAGGAAAAGATGAGATTGACCAAATTTGGACGTGGGAAATTTTGCCCCGCTGCCACCGACGTTACTTTTTGTCATTTTATGCGACATGATTTTATGTTTCTTTGTGTTGCTTCATGTTATTTTTTTTTTTTAAAGATAATCATATAAAAAAAAGCCATAATGAAAGCGATAAAGAAGTTTGGCAGAATTTTCCTTATAAAATGTTGGAACAATGGAAATGCTAAGCAAAGATCCCACTAAAAATGCAAATCGAGGCTTTTATTTTCCCAAATCCAAGTGGCATCATCCATTCGCAACGATGCCCTTTTGTAATACCTTTAAAAAACAGAAAAAGCACATAAAGAAGGATCCAACAATCTTGAGGACGCCGCAAGTGCCGAGTTCACACGGGGTCGAGGTGACTTTGCCGTCGAGTCCGTTTTTTTTTTTTTTTTTTTTCTTTTGCGCACACGCATCCCATCCATGCCCGCGTGCAACATTTACAAGGTGGCTGCTGTAAAAAGTGATGAAGCGACGGACGCCGCGCCGCCATTAAAGTCTGAGTGGGGCTTTTACGAGCACATTTTCTCTTTTCCTGCGCGATGGCGTCAGGCGCAGCGTCGCGTGTCGTTACTTCTCCCGACAGACTGTAAAAGTGTCACATTACCGGATTGAACATACTGATTGATCAACAATGATGCTTTTTTTTTTTTTTGGTCATATCCTTTTTCCTACTTACTGGAAAGTCGGTGTTACTTGAAAGCCGCGATGATCACGCCAGAGGCGGACATTTGCTTACTCGGTTCTGAAAATTCAGCCTCCATTGCCAGACTCGGGAGCAACATGGAATTTAGTTGGCAAGTCAATTATGAGTCGGTCAACAAAAAGTCTCAAGAAGCCATATTTGGAACAGACATGGGAAGTTGTGCTTTGAAAAGGCCATTTCAGGGTCATTGTGGACCATTTACCTTCAAACTGTTTGGCAATTCATTCCCCACTGCTGCTGAGCAACTTGGTAGAGATGTTCATCTCCAGGAGATCTACAAAAAAAAAAGCCATTTTGGGGTTTAATTGGCCATTTTAGGTCGTTCTGGACTCTTCCGATTCAGCCCCCAAAGACACATTGACTTGGTAACATGAAATTCAGCAGAGTAGACCAACCAAAAATGGCCATTTTCACCTTTTCCAGGTGTCCTTGAAATTGTTTGTAAATTCAGCCCACAAAGCCAATTTCACTTGGCAACATGAAATTCAGTCGAGAAGTCTATTTTGCTCAGACCCACAAAAAAAATGCCCAAAGAAGTCATTTTGGAAAACACTGTTTT